ACCAGCAATGAGCTTTTTGGCTTATTACAAAGAGAATAAAATACATCAATATAGAGAACTTTATTACAGAGACGTGTTAACAAATAAAACCAGCATAAAACTGCCACAGAACACAAAATACCCAGCACAGACAGCAGCTTATTATAAATTTGCCGTGGTTTTATGTGTGGTGCAGATGTTTACTTTCTGAATCACAAGCGCAGGTTCCCCTCCCATTCCTAAAGGGAATGAGCAGAAGTCCCTGCGTGCTGCATGGGAATAGGTGGGTGCAGAGACGCTCCAGCCCCACGCCACCCCACCACAACATGCCCCAGGTCCCAGCATGCAGCACTGGTGACCTGTGCCTGTCCCTCAGCCACGTGGGCATCTTGCCCCACAGCCACTTTCCAGGAACTCTGTGTCAGTTGACGCTGGGCACTGGGACATGACAGTGCTGAGCACGACCTGGCCAGACCTTATGGCACGAGAAAGGCTTTCTGTGCCTCCAGAAGTCTACTTTGAAAGAGTTAGAAAACAGCTACCACACTGTAATTCCAGGATTCTGCCCAAAAGTGCAAAGACACTGTGCAGTCAAAGAGGGCAGAAACAAAGGACGCTCTGTTGTCCCCCAAGTGCAAATACTATCCCTGTCTCAGCTACAAAATCAGCTACAGGAAAGCTAGAGAAGCCTCTACAAGAAAGCTGGAGAAGCAGATACCGACACCAGACTACACCAGTGTATAACCCATTCATGCCATGAACACATGGACCTTCAAAAACTGGGCAATACCTAACCAGAAAAAACATTAAATTAAAAGTTTCCATTATTATTGGCATACACTGACTTGTCTCCTGAAGAGCAGTTAGTTGCAATCAGTGTGCAATCAGAAAAGAAACGCTCTTAGAGCATTATATTAAATAGATCTCTTTAGCAATATAAAGTGGGGCATGCTTTTATTTTAGTATATATGTAGTTTAACATATGTTATTGAAACATCTAGGGAGAGAGCTCAGCAAGCAGAGCAGCAGCTGATGGAGCAGGGAGCTGCAGGGAGCTGTGCTGGTGGTGTCTTGGCAAGGGAGGGCAGCGAGCCCAGCTGATGGGAGGCAGGGGGCACCTCCAGTACCACCTCAGCATCCCTGCAGACCCTGGCAACGACCCCAACAGAGCAACAAGACTGAAACGAGCAAGTGGTGGTGAAGGTGGCGAGCATCCTGCCTCCCCTCCGCAGGGCCGACTCACTTGGTGTCTACCTTGGTGAAACCAAGATGAGATTTGGACATGGTGGGCTCGCTCCCAGGCTGCATGAGTCAGCGATGCCAAGGGGGTCCCCCCCTCCAGGGGTTTGGCCATCCTGAGGGAAGCCTCAGGGACAGCACTGACATGATTGTAAGGATGGTGCAATTCTCTTTGCTTTAGTAAAGTGAAAGAAGACAAGAAAATGCAGAGGAGAACACAAAGTACAAAGATACATGGCAGGATCTGGACTTTGGTATTTCTTAAGCCTCATTTTGACCCAGTTCCTGCAGCAGCCCATGAAAATAAACAAGGAAGCAGTGTTAACACCTCCAGCAAATACACACACAGTTGCAACTGATCTCACACCCTCCAGTCACCACTCTAACGATGTCATAAAAAGTCAACTTTTGAATACAAATGCTGCAGAAGTTTGCTTTGGTGCTGAAGAGACGAAGAACGTAACTCCAGTGCCCACCCAAGCACAGAGGAGCCCTGGGGTGCTGCTTGGTGACAGCCTGGCTGCTCCCAGCCCACTGGCCAGGGGCACCTCACCCAAGCCCCTGCCCCATCACAAATCAAACCTGCCCACCCGCGAGCTGCACACATCCAGCACGATGCACAGGCAGCATCCCCTTCTAAACGGCTTTTCATTTGCAGTGTGCTTCCACCAACAAATCAGTGTATGCAAATCCCTATTAAACTTGATTTCTTCCCAATCTCCCAGCAGAAAAGTACCCAGCAGGATACCTCCACTCATTAACTAATGAAAACTTCACCGACAAGAGCTTGTGCAAAATATAAAGCTCTCCAAAGGAGTTCTTCAGATTGCTCCTAAACATCTGTTTCAGGGATCGAAAGGATTCCAGGTGGAGAAGGAACTTAAGCCACACATACACACCCCAAACTACTAGAAAGTTTATTCGAAACTCTCAAACAGATGTAAACCCCAGAGAATATCCCAAGCCAGAAAGAGAGAGACCTAAAGGCTACCAAAGAACAGATTAGGCACAGTTCTTACCAACCTACACATTTGTTCAATGACCAGGAGGCCAGCTCTGAGGTGCACTGAGAGACAACAGGGTGGCAGGCACTACTTGGCAGGCGTCCCCGCAGAGGTAATGTCAGCCATAAAGGTAGTTGGATCCATCTCCCCCCCCTCTTCTCCCCTACTCTTCTCTCTCATGAGCTCTCTCGAATCCCGGGCCTTTTATATCCCCAAAAGTGCCAACTCATCCCGACGCAGGGGGTCAGCCCTGCATCCCGAGGAGCGTCCCTGCTGGCTTCCTTTTCCCGTGCCCATTCATCCTGATGCAAGGGGTCAGCCTGCACCAGGAGGAGTGTCCCTGCCGGCTCCCCGCCGTGCACCCCCACTCCGGGTGATCGGGGATGGTCCACCACGGACCAATTTTTACCGTGTAAGACCCATCCAACACACACCACCACGTGGTCCGTGTGTGGACCATCTCCGAGTCGAAACTAATCATCTCCATCAATAACCATTCCAACAAATCAATAAAGAAACAGAGTGTTGGGAGTGGGCCACCCCGGACCAATTCCAGTGTTAGACCCGTCTAACACAACATCCTAAACACTGATGACAGAGTACCCACCCAGCTGCTCACTGTGCCCTTCTGCTTGCTGCAGAAAACGTTCGGGAAGAGAGAAGTGCACCAGCAGGATTTTTTTACCAGTTCATTTGCAAATACTAGTAAATCATATTAACATTTAAAATGCTTGCAGCCCTCTAAAATAGAAGCTTACTGAGAACACCGCCCTCCTGGCTGGCATTCAGGAAGGTTATCTAAGGATTCTGTTGCCACCTACGCAAAGGGATTTCAAGAAGAGCACAAGCAGAGCCACATCTAGCAGGGAAGGAAAACCATTACAAACAACTGCAAAGAAAGTTCCTCCCCTGCAATAGTTTTAAGGGTCTTTTCCCTACCCCTTCCCTTAATGAAAATCCCATAGCGTGACTGAAATGTATGAGGAAAATTGTTTGTTTCACTGAGAGCTTACAAAGAACCCAGATTTACCATGAGGGCATTTGCCTGAAGAGCTGATGGTGATGCTCAGCTCGTGAATGGTCCGAGCAGCACATTAGTGCTGTTCTCTGCACAACACGTGCGTGGCAATCAATTGGCTGCAACCTCATTCCCTTTGCTTTTAAAGACACCTGACAAACACAAGCAGCCGGTATTAGACAGGGGGAACGTGTGTGATCTGGTTCACCTCCCCAGCCTCTGGCACTGCTTTGTGCCAGATGACACCACCAGTACTCCGGCTGGGCACAGCTCCGACACACGCTCCACTCCGTACCGCAGTGGCGAAACCACCACTGGCCAACAGACCACATGCAAGGTATGGATCTGCTGTTTGCCTGTGCCAGCACGAGGACCCCCGGGAGATATCTGTGCTGGTAAAGCCAGACCACAGCCCACCATGAGAAGTATTACCTTGGCAAGAGCCTGCATGTGCCGTGCTCACCAACACCCCCCGCCAGATGTGAGCAGGCGGTTTGGGGGTGCTCACGGCTCTGCAGGAAGGGAGAACTGAAATACAATGGGGAAAGCAGACTTGGCCACTGTGTGGGAAACAGCCCAGCAAATAAATCAGAACACGGGCAGCCGGTGGGCCTGTGTTCCCTTCTGAACTTGAGGTATGAAATGGAGTCAAGCCTGACAAACCAAGCCTGCTTTCCTCAGATACTCCTGACTGCTGAGGGCCACCAGCAGCTGCAGAGTGACCAGCTTTTGCTTTTTGCTGGCTGTGGACCAACTACCGGTCAAGCCAAGGCGCATTTATCCATCCTCACTGTGGAGCTGCAGCCTGTGCTGCATCAAGGGGACTGGGCTCTCCCACATCCACGTCGAGCTGCTTTGGACTGGTGGAGCACGTGGGACAGTGTGCTTGGGACGGTGTCCGCCAGGCTGCAATCAACCACTGCAGTTAGCAGCAGCCATGAGCACTGCTTCAAGGGCAGAAGGTCTCTTCAGCGTTTCCTTTACAAGTCCCTGCAGTGCCACAGCAGCACCA